TCAAAACCCAAGCAGACAAAAAGTACCCAAACAAAGAGCAGACATTCCTGCTGTACATGTACATGTACTTACCTTTGCTTCCGCGGTCGGCGGTGGTTTGGCATTTTTTGGTCTCGAACTGTGGACGCCCGAAACAGCACAGCGTCCGCTCTACTCATATCCTTGGTATACCCACACTGGTTGTAGCGGCAATAGGAAAACCTGATGAACAATAATAATATAGATAGCATTTGTATAGCACACATTCCCGCTCAACAGCAAGCTGTATACACTTTGTAATCTACAATATTATTATCCCAGTAGACCTGCTAGCATTAGCATTCTGAAACGTTGTCAACTAGTCAGTGTTCAACTTTAACTGTAAGGTCGTTGCGTCCTTGTGAAAGGCACTTTACACTAATTTTCCTCACTTGAAACGACATGTGGGAATGTGTACCCAGCGATAAACGGCGAAAGATCTTGTCAGTTTGTTAGTATTCGAGCGCTTTTTCAGCTACTTGCACTGTATGCCTCCAGAGAAGCCGAGAATGTTTTTGGGTGTTATGCGCTATACAAATGAGTCACGGCACGGGGAAATCAGTCGCTCGTCAATTTTTGTGCAAATAAAGTAACTGTTATTTTAAAGCTTGTTCGAATCATTTGTCTTGATTTCGATGGAAAAATACTCATTTATCTTGAACAGAAGTCGAGATATTTGCGAATAAGAAGCAGGGGGTTGCCTGGTACAAGTGCCAAAGTTTGCTAACTACCAAAGCTTGGTAGTCCTTGGAAACAGCGAATTTACATTTCCCCCCTCTTCCTTCATATATGCACACACACACCCACACACACACACACACACACACACACACACACACACACAGACACACACACACACACGCACACACACATAAACAGACACACACAGGAACACACACACATACAAACACAATGGTCCTCTTTCTCCTACTCACTATAATTATTCATTGGAGGGGAAGAGGATTTAATGTTTTGCCAGGGTGAAAAAGCATTAAGAAGACAAAAAAAGATAATTGAAGGAATTTATTAATGTCGTATATGAAGTCCTTAAGACGATTCTCCCCCCCCCCAAAAAAAAAATAAAAAAATTTAAAAATCGTTTCTAGATCTATGTACCAAACTCACGATTTGGAAAACAAATTTTTGTCCTTTGGAATAACAGCTGAGATATACTTTATCGATGCCTGGACTACGGGCTCGGAGAATCTGAGGAAAGTGTGTGAGATATTGTAAGCATAACAATAAATAATGACATGATATTATGGTCAAATTGTGTACTGTCGTGTGTTGTGCATGTGTTTATGTGTTTATGTGTGTGTGTGTATGTGTGTGTGTGTGTGTGTGTGTGTGTGTATGAGTGTGCCTTAGTGTGGTGTGTGTGTGCTCTAGTGTGTGTGTGTGTGTGTGTGTGTGTGTGTGTGTGTGTGTGTGTGTGTGTGAGTACGTGTGTGTGTGTGAGCGTGAGTATAAGTATACAATTAGAGTATCTAATTTGCTATTTGATTATGTCAGTAGGTCCCACTTCCTGAAAGACTTACGTGTGAGTGTATGTACACAAATGTGTCTAACTTGCTATGCTAGTTCATCAGTTGTATAGGTCCCACTTATAGAATGACTATAATGTATTTACAGAGGTGTGAAACCCTGGCCTGTATTACCTGACCCGTCATTATCTCAGTTGTCATTATGCTGGTCAACGATACGGAGCATTATGATTCAAATCCCCAACAGGGCATTCTTGAACTTGAGGAGCTATCAACCATTTCATTATACTTGCATCAGTCCTAAAAATGGTCTGCACTAAAGTCGTAGATCCCATTAAAAAACCCCCGAAGCAAAACAAACTCAAAGCACATGAAAACAACACCCCCACCCCTCCAAAGATAACCCTCCAAACAAAACAAAACGAAACAAAAACAAAATAACAAACCAGAACAACCCCCCCTCCCCTCTCCCCGACAAAAATACCCCCCAAAAATCATATAACACCCCCCCCCTAAAAAAAGAAAACAACCCCCTCCATCCCTCCCCCAAAAAATGCCACAAACAAACAACAACCAATCAGCCCCCCCCTGCCCCCCTCCCAAAAAAACAAAAAAACACAAAAAACCAAAAATAAAACAAACCAAAACAAATAACTAAAACAAAAAAACCTCACACAAACAGTCATTATAACAGGACCCCACTTAAGTGCACTTCACAGGCGTCCACCAGCACAAGATAAGACCCTTAGCTTACACAAAGCCCTACAGAGATTTGACCTTATTTCCTCCGCCTAAACCTGATTGTGAAAGTCAAGATGACATAGAATGACATTCTCACATCCAAACCTTTAAGCTAGAGGCAAAACGACACGCAGCAGAAAGATAATATAGAAGAAAACTGCACAGATGGATTGTACAGTATGTATTTGTAATACGTCTTCATATAAGAAGAAATTAATAAGAAAATGATTATTATGATGATGATAATAGTTTTTTTTTAAAATTGAAAATTATGATCCTCCTCCTCCTCCTCCTCCTCC